AAAAAAAAAAAAAAAGACAACATATAAAGGAGAAGAGGAAAGAAAGACAGCAAACATGGATCACAAAATAGAAGAAAACAAATATCCTAGGGTCTAAATGTCACCTGGGGATTAAAAACCAGCATGGATTTCTGATGGTGCTCCCATCATGTAGGCTCGGCCATCCCTCCACGACTCCTTGGGCCCTGTGGCATTCTGAAAATGATCACTTAGCCCCTGAATTTCTGGTTTTATGGATCTGATAACAGCTTTGCTAAATTGTGCTCTTTCTTGTGCTATATCAGACTGAGTAAAAAGGCCTGATAGCAATAACAGCTGGAATAACTATAAAAACAAGCTTTCATCCACTGTCTTAGAGAATCTATGTTTTTACATATTTTGCCTTAGATAAACTCCGCTTTGAAAATGTTTTTGATTTCTGAAAATATCTGAAATTGAAAATATTTTCCTTTTTTTATTCATTATTGTGCACATACCTCCATTGAATTGTCACATTTGTGCCTTTAAGGTTTAGACCTAAGTTTTTCATACATTTGGAAAATATTCTATATGAGTAAACAAATATGGTAAGAGTATTTATTAGTTGTCACTAATCTCATCATCGTGACCAGGAACTTAACAAAGAAAAGAAAAAGAAAGGAATTTTGCCATGTTGATGCCCAGAGGAGCACTAATGAGTTATGAAACCTTTCAGAGTCATAGAGCAGAAGAAAAACGGTTGCCTTGGTAACAAGGCAACCCAGTCAGCTGCATACACTCTCCCAAGAGCATCTAATTTATTCAGCAAATGCAGGCTAGAACAGGTGGCTACCTTAGATGATGTCAACAAGCTCTAGCTCCCAAACATGGGTGCCCACCACATTTTCTTGTACACAAGTTTCATTCTTATCCCTTATAAAGGAGGAGTTAACCAGGTGCATTTCAGTGTGGCTCATAACACTTTAGGTGACAGAACAGTTATCTGTATTTGTCACTTGAATTTTCTACCAATAAAAAGGTATATAATTTCAAGAAATGGTTGAAACCAACATCTTAATTTTACAAGTTATCTTGGAAGTAGAAATTGTCCTAATCTCAGTTATAAAAATCCATCATTCACCTTTTAATAAATCAAATATTTTAATGAGTATTAATAGCAAGAATTTATCATTAAATTTTACAGTTCTTGCTTTAGATGATAAATAGCCACTGAAACTCCAGTTCTTTAAGCAATCTGAAAGCATTTAGGCATCTGCAACAAATTTTATATTGTCAAAGAGGTAAGGGAGGAATACTACCAAGATAGGCTCTATTTATTGTAACATTAAACTTAAAAAAATCTGAAAAACTAGCAGTAAAGTATATACTTATTTTTATATTAAGTAAGAGCTTTTATGATCCAGTCCCAGTTTCATTTTCTGGTCTCCTGTCCAAACGCATTTCGTAATATGTCCTAAACTTCACCAACAGAAGCCCAATGAAATCTCTTCCTCACATCTCTGCACTTAGTATTTGCTGTTGTCTCTGTCTTGGGACTTCTAGGACCAGATTCCCTGTTCAATTCTAATCCATCCTTCAAGGATAAGATCAGGCATTTTCTTTCCCCAAATGCCTTCCCTCACCTCCCCAGGACAAAATTATAAGCATCTCCTTGTGTCCCCTCTGCAAGTGATTCCACTGTTTTGTTTCCATATCTGCTTTCTTCTTCAGATTGAGTCCCCCAGACCTTAAATATGTTCTATTCACTTCTTATCCCCAGGGTACCTGAAATGGTAGGAAATCAAAGATATGTCACAAATAAATGAATAAATGGATGCATGAATGAAATCCGCTTCAGTAATACAAAAATGTGCATAAACCTAAGATATGACAAGACTTTTCACAAATTAGAAAATCTCACCAATGTGGACAAATGAGTAACGGCATATGCTTGTATGAGTAAAGACGCTACATCTTTTAATGAGTGGAAACCTTCCCTCAAATGAAGTCATAAATTCAGCGTCTCTTTGTAAACCTGATGTCAGTCCGTCTCCATCCTGCTGTTCCTGCACAATCCCACACTCAAAGCATCTACCAAAAGCCACAGATCTCCAAGAGCCAGAGCTTGAAAGATACTGGGCTCGACTAACTACATATTCAATTTTGCCTTGCTACTGCCCACTAAACAGAAATCACATAAGCAAACCTTTGTTGAAAAGGGTATTTAAAATAGAAGACAACATTAGCTAGGAAGTTCGGGTCTTGGTATTTCTCTATTAATCTGCTTTGAAGTCTTGCAGTTGTTTCCAAAGGTGACCCTTGCTGAGTGAGGCTGTTTCCTTAGCAACAGGATGACTGCTTCCGGCATGTAGAGAACATGCATCTCTGTTTTTGCGGTACTCAAGCACCACCTTGAGATGCTATGTTGCTTCAAGAAAGCAAGAATCTTTCCTTTCAAAGTACCAGATTGGCTCTCCAGCTCGTGGACTGCATATTACTCTGGAAAACAAGAAGTAATGATAATTGTCCAGAAATAACTTCCTCATTCCATAAAAAGGACACAACCTCTACACTGATGTACTTTATTCTCCCTGCCTAATTACTCCACATGTCTGCCTACACACACACACACACACACACACACACACACACACACACACACCATTCTTTCTTCTTTTTGGCTTTTTTTTAATTTGTCTTAAATTTTTGTGCTGCTATCAATTCTCTCTTTTATATTTTACTCCATTTCTAGTTCCAGTATTGATGGCTTCTTTGTATATCTGTTTCCAATATCAGCCAAATCACAAGTTAGAATTAAGCATCAACATATCATGACCAGAAAAAAAAAAAAAAACAAGGCTTGGTTGAAGCAACTGTCACTTGGTCAGTACACATAACCCCTTGCTATTGCAAAAGAAGATGGGAACATATAATAGACTGAAATTCATGTTGTTTATTCTTTCTAGCAATTTCATACAATGGTGCAGTCATATCACAAAAGGGCTGGAAACCCTAGTGCATCAGCCATACCTCTGTATTAATGGAATTATTTTTGTCTGAATTGTGTGCTCATAAAAAGGAAAAAAAATTACTGAAGTTGTATAGGATTTTCTTGGGAAAAATTCTTCTAAAAAAGTATTTCCAGGTATTCTATTTATACTAAGTTCAGTAGGTAAATAAATAAGTTAGACTTTTAGAATGCTAAGTAAATTAAATTTTACAATGGCATATCAAAATGCTCAAACTCATAGCTGAGTTTTTTCAATGTAGTATGCACAGAATCCTGAGCATAAACAGGAAATGTGCAAAAGCTTCTTTTACATCCAAAGTATCTATGGAATACAAATGTTAAAATACCATTCGGCAGGTAGTGTTATAAGTCCATGGATTTAAAATACATTTTATACTAACAAACTGGGAAATTTACATCTGCAATAGACCTGGGAAATAATTCAGTCCCTTGTTTTATATATGAGAAAACAAATGCCAAGAATCAGTCAGAAACATACCAGTCCAGATTAGTTGCAGACCTTCAGCTAATATCAGAAGAGCTTTCGATTTGTATTGGCTTAACATAAAAAATGTTCACCATAATTTTCTTCAAGATAAAAATTGCATTTTGCCTTCATTGTCATGTTTTAATTTATACCTTAATGCTCAGCTTTCGGTAATTACTAACAATTGTTATGCATGTTATGTGTATGGCATCATCCATTAGGAATGCTTCCAGCTGAAAATAACAGGAAACACTATATAGAGTGGGTGGCTTAATAAATATTGGATAATTTTTCTGGCATAACAAGTAGTCTTGAGGGAAGCAGCTAGCATTGGTTCCGTGGTTTGACAGTTTCTGAAATTCTCTTGGGATTTCTCATGTTTGCTTCCTGGTTACAAGATGACTGCAGTAGCTTTCAGCATTCCAGTCTGACTTCAAGAAAGAAGAGAGAAGGAGCCATGCCAGGGATTATATCAGGTAATGCCTTATAACATGTCCTTACATAAGGAGATACAAAATCCTTTCTAGAGCTCTTAGCAAGTTCATGCCATGTTTTAGTTTCCAGAACTAAAGCATATGGCTGCTCTCACTGCAAAAGAAACTGAGGACATAAGAACTTAGGTTTTTACTGCCGGGCACGGTGGCTCACACCTGTAATCCCAGCACTTTGGGAGGCCGAGATGGGTGGATCACGAGATCAGGAGTTCAAGNAAAAAAAAAAAAAAAAAAAAAAAAAAAAAAAAAAAAAAAAAAAAAAAAAAAGAACTTAGGATTATACAACTCTTATGGCAGAAATGATAATGGAGAAATTGGTTTAAAATACTTCAGTGTGAGCTGAAAATATTAGATGCTTATGTGAAAATAGACAGAGTAAACAGAAACAAATCAAGAAAGAAACCAAATAAGAGATCGAGAAAGAAAATAGAAAACATGTATTCCACTGCAATCTTAAAACAGGAAAAATGAATTATTCAAAATGAAAAGAGAGGCAATATAAGCCACATATAAATGTTTTTCAAGTTCCTTTTGTGGTGGACATTGTCACTAGTAACCAAAGCAGACCCACAGAGAGTGGACGGCAGTTTCAGCAGGCATTAAGAACCTGTGAGTTTTGCCAGTTGTCAGTCAAGGGAAAGCTCCAGGTAAACTATTACTAAGAAATTTTAACCACTTCTGAATGCTCAAAACTTAAAATCACTACCTTGTATGAATATTGTAAATGTTTTTCGTATACTATTCTTAACACATAATTTGGAAGGATTATATTATTTCAAGTTGTTTGCTGTTTGACTTTAAAATCACTTGCAAGTATTAGGAAATTACTTACAAGTATTGTAGAAGCTCTTCCTTTTCCATTGGGTCAGTGCCATACAATATAGAAAGCAAGTAGGCCATATTAACTAAGTATCAAGTCAGAAGCTTCAATTTCTAGGGCACCTTTGCCTCATTGTCTTACTAAATAAAAAAGTGTGAAAATGCATGCTACCTCCTCCTCCCCAGTCCCTGCTAGGATGTAAGCTCCCTGAGGTTGGAGGTTCTGTTTGTCTTGATTTCTACTATATCTGTAGTGTTTACAACACTGCTTGATACAACATACTTATTCAATAAATAGTTGTAGCATGAGTAGGTAAAACTTAAACCAGTTAAGACCAATTGCCTACTAGGCAAATATTATTTTACTTGGAGTTGGAATTCAATAAGTTCTGCAGAACCCCACTGCAACATAAGTTGTACAGCAATAGAGTTAAACATCAGATCCCTCCTCAAAATACAGCTTATTGAGCCGAAGGATGAAACTAGAAGGATCTTGAGAGTAAGAGCCACGTACTTATCTTCTGTCTTTCTTGCCAAGCCCAAAGACTGACACATAATAAATGTTTATTAAATCAATTGCTGACCAGTTTTTATATTGAGTGATTACTGATGTGTTGGCAATCAACATTTTAGTTTAAACCACTAAAATAAAACCAAGTTGACATGTTTCCAATAAACATCCAACCTCTAAACTTTACTCCTAAGAACATTACTCAAGTGCTAAAGTATTCAACTTTCCAGCCAGAAAACTAATTAAAATCACAGAAGTAATTCATAATAGCAAAGTCGAAGTGAAGTATACATTTATACATGCATACCTACATGCATACCACATGGAGCACTTTTTATGCAGATCATTCTGGGTTAGTGAAATAAATAACCATTGCCCTTAAACAATACAAATTCAAGCTGTGAATGTCCACTTATAAATGGATTTTTTCCACCTCTGCACCCCGAGACAAGACCAGCCCCTCCTCTTCCTCCTCCTCCTCACCCTACTCAACATGAAGACAATGAGGATGAAGACCTTTATACTCATCTACTTCCACTTAATCAATACAAAATGTTTTTTCTTCCTTATGATTTTCTTAACATTTTCTTTTCTCTAGCTTGCTTTATTAAAGGATATGGTACATAACACATACAAAATACGTGTTAATTGACTTTATGTTATTGGTAGGGCTTCCACTCAACAGTAGGCAATTAGTAGTTAAGTTTTGGGGAAGTAAAAAGTTACATGCAGATTTTCAACTACAGAGAGGTTGGAGTCCCTAACCCATGTGTTGTTCAAGAGTCAATTCTGTTATCAAAGAGATGAAAAGGATACTATTAAGAACCCCATTGGGTTTTTCTCTAAGAAGCAGAACTAAAAAAAGCTACAGAGAATAGAATTCTTTAAAATCATGTTTTTTTATTAATTTTTATCTATGCAATCCAAGTACAATTTGTAACAAGTTAAAATGGAGATAATATGATTTTTTATGGCTGGAAGATTTGAAGCATTATTTATTCAAAGTGACTAATTTTTTACTTACTACTCAATCCAGCCTTAAGGTAGAACTCATCATTCACATCATGTTACAATTTTACAGCAGAGCAACAGATAAAGTAAATACATGAATTTTCAACAAGTCAGATGCTGTATTTGTTGAAATATTTTTAAAACAGGCTCTCTCACTTATGGCATTTTTACTATGTCACACACAAGCTTAGCTAAGTGAGCATGAGCCATGTTAATATCTTGTGACTATAAATGTGCAGACTGCTCTCATTAATTTCAGTGAACCCAGAAGTACAGAATCCTTCTCACATAAGTACAAGCACAAAGACATTTTTGGCTAGGCATTGTATTCCATGAAATGAAAAGAAACAAGAGCATCAAAAAAAGATCCCAAGCAACACATACAAACAAATACAGGAATACGTTGGAAACCAGAAGGCTGACACGTTAATTAAACATTACCTTTTTCTCGTAGTGAGGAAGATGCATCCTGGTCATTTCTGTCTTTTCTCACAGTGCTAATTTCAAAACCCCAGCTGAGAAAGCAGCTGTGTAGAGCAAGGAACTGGTGAGCTCAGCAGGAGTCCTGTATCCTAAAGCTACTTGCAGAAATTCAAGCTTTCTTTCAGTTGCAGTGTTGTCATTTACAATGCCAGAAATGTGGAGTGCTGTCCTCTTTTCTGCAGCAGTAGTAAAGATCATAGTCATGGTTTCTTTAAAGACTTCAAAAGCCTAAGTCGCCCTGTTTTTATTGTTATTTATTTTCAATGTAGCCTCCAAAGAGCTGTCATTGGCTACTTTTCAATATATTTGAAATTCTAGTGAGGTTTCATTAATCATAGTGTTAATGGAATAGATGATGGCAAAACAGACATGAAAGTTGAAGCATATGGCAGAGGGAGTGTTGATTGCATTTCCCCACTCCCCACGACCAAAAAAAGAAAAAAAAGTAAAGAAAAAGAAAAAGGGAAAATGCTTCACTGTTACACTGCAATTTTTCCCTAGATTGCAACATTGAAACTCTGATCTTTAATTTTTAAAAAAACTATGTTTTAAGCTTCTGCTAAAAGGAACAATTCAAAATTAGCTGCAACCTAAAATAAAGCTACATTTCTTAAAAGCCCTTGGAAATGAAATCAATTTATATCTGTTTCCATATAGTGGCATTAAAATGTTTTATGAAGTACTCTGGAAAATAATTACAGGGAGAGCACCGAGCAACACAATGGCTGCAGGACATGATTGATGCCGTAAGACTGTCATACATGAAGAAAGCATGTCGTATGCAGAGCCGAGAGTCCTAGTGAGGTTGAGTCTAGAACAAAGAAAAGCAATTGTTTACATTTCTGAAAGTATCGTAGCTTTTACAGTTAAATATGTTTAATATAGGAAATCGTATTTATACTTATAAAATATACATGTGTGTTGGTATAGATCCTTCACAGCATTTGGCTTCAATATTTACTAGTCTCAATTCTCAGAGAATTCTTAAATATTTAAACTCAAACAGCAACCATTTAAAATATATATATTATTCTTACCTCAAAGCTCTAATCAGATATAAAAGTTAGTATACAATACCTGAACAAAGGAATATATTTGAAGTTATTTTATGAATGTTTTATTAATATTCACCTAATTTCATAAGTCAATCTGGAAAATTCTGTAGAACTGAAAGATTAACATTCAGAAATTCTCATTTACCTATGGATTTTGTCATCCAATAGGTATTTTTGTTTGTTTTTTGAGATGGAGTCTCACTCTTGTCACCCAGGAGTGCAGAGGCATGATCTCGGCTCACTCATTCAGGAAGTGACAACCTCCACTTCCTGAGTTCACGTGATTCCCCTGCCTCAGCCTCCCCAGTAGCTGGGATAACAGGCACCCACCACCAGGCCTAATTTTTTATATTTTTAGTAGAGATGGGGGTATCACCAGGCTGGCCAAGCTGGTCTCGAACTCCTGACTTAGGTGATCCATCCACCTCTACCACCCAAAGTGCTGGGATTACAGGTGTGAGCCACTGCACCCAGCCTCCAATAGGTATTTATAAGATTATACTGAGTTTATAGAACTTTATCACTCTGACTTAAAACCAAGACTACATACAACAAAAATTCAGATTCAAACATTATTGACTGACACATTTTCCTTCAGGAAGTAGCCTTTGTTTCTCAAATAAACTTCCAACAAAATTTATTTGGGAAAATGGTAAAAAAAAAAAAAAAATACATGAGTATTCTTGAGTAACATCCCAAATTTAGCAACTTAAAGCAAAACACAATTATCTCATTTTGAAATTTTAAATGCACTCATTTTGAAATTTTAATTTATAGAAGATCACGCAGCACAAATATATTGTCATAACATTTTGCTGCATGCTCCTTATCATTTCTTTCTTTCTTCTTTATCCATTCATTTATTCACAATATCCCTTGTAATTTCTGTCAATAGTTGACATTTCTGCCCTGAAGAAATTACTGCATATTTTGTCTAGTCAAACACCATTTTCAAAAATAGCCAATATTTGCTTTCAGCATCAACAAATATATTCATCTGTCCAAAGATGCTACTCAGTATAAGAAAATGAATAAGGTAGTTGTTGAGAAACTGAATCTGATCACATATTTCACATTAATACTTTTAAGTTGCGTTTCTCACCACACCCCTAAATAATTTCAGATGGATTAAAGAGTTAAACTTAGTAGAATCAAGTTTCGGCCATTGGAAGGATGTACGAAAATAAGAAAGGCATGGTAGAAAGCACAAAGGGAAAAAAATGGACCTATGGAACTACATAAAGTTTTAGTATGGAAAAAACATATTTTTACTAGACTGTAAAAGTGTTTTTAATTACTTGAAGAGTTAACATGGATTGAATAAGAAACACAAGGCCCCAACTGACTAATTGACAGACAACATAAAGAGAGACTCCAAAGGGTAAATGCAGAGGCAAAAAAAAAATCAACCTCACAAATAATTATAGAAACTCAAGTTAAAAATCAGACTCCATCTTTACCTATTAAAATAATCCATTTCTAAAATGTACAATTCACAGTAATGATGGAGGCACGGTATCATATATTACTGTTAATAGTGATGCAGGGCAATTTGTCAGGAAAATATGGCCATAAAGGAGAACAAAGGAAAATGACCACATATTTGATACTAATAGCCATCTCTGAGATTCTATGTTTTAGAAGAAAACTATATTTACAATGGGGCTCAAGACATTACATCACAAAATTGAAAATACGAAAAAAAAGCTAAATATCCAATAAGAAGTAGTTTCAGAAAGTGAAAACTTGCCCTGGCAATGGGAAGTAAGAGAAGGCTGTAAGAAACACACTCTAAATGGCAATGATGCCCTAAGCATGATGGGTTTGGGACTGTGCCTGAAACGAGTCAGCAACAAGGACATCCTGCAGCCGCAAAACAACTAAACAGCCCTCTCTTTGTACTAGCCCTAGTGGCCTGCTGATTTACCAATACAACACAGCGTTGTTTGGATCCTCCCACCTTCTAGAGAGTAATTGCCAATATAACCAGTCTCTAAATTGCCCCTGCTTTCTGACAGCATCCAAGTCATAAATGGCCCCTCCTCTTCGAGCCCTGTTAGAATCACCCTGGATGAGGCTAAATCCTTTTATAAGTCTTTCTCCAAATCCTCCTACTGGAACCTCCATGGTTCCACTAGTGAGTGTTCTCCTTTGCAGCAGCAAGCAAAATAAACCTCATTTTGTTTCATTTATTTGTGTTTTTATAATCTTCATTTGGTGGATTTCAATAGGTTGAGCTGTGACCCTCTATTATATTGAGTATCATCCAACCATTCTAATGACAGCATGCAAGAGTATAAGACATGACAACTACATTGAATATCTACTTCTGTGAATTACAATATAAATCAGATCTCACATTTGACAAACCCTGATTCTTATATTCTTATATTTTCTTCTTTACATGAAAAATATGAAAAGAAAATATATCAAGTGCTATGGCTAAAACACTGGGTTTATTGGTGTTTGTTCTCCAGGTAACTTCTTCCTTATTTTCTTCCCTAAATTCTAACCTTCTTAAAGTTGAGTAAATTGTATTTCGAATAAAAACATTTTGTTAAAATATGTCATATGTGAATAAAACAAAATCTCTTCCCTCGATTAAATAGAAGAGCTCACGTATCTTATGTTCTCATTTTTTTCTACTGATTCAGCAAGGAATAAACATGTATATAACCATTAATTGATATGTATGAGTAATTAATTTGATGCTTCTACATTGATATACATAATGATTAATTCACGCACATACTTGACGTATTGATACATATAATGAACTAATTTATATGCATCTGTCATTACTTGATACATATAAATTGCAATAATCCATTCCTTTACATGTTCATTTGTTTATTCTCTTGTGTTCATTTATTTATTAATCTCAAATATATGTTGAATTTTAAAAGCACAAATATATAATGAGCTTCTTTAATTTTCCAGACAGGGATAGGTAATAGTGAGACAGAATTGAACATGATCAACCTCTTGCTGGAGAGGAACTCACTCTGCCATGGGAGAGAGAGAAGGTAGATAGAGGTACGTTATCAAATGGAGGGATACTTCTATATTCTCCCACCAGGTGATGCTATGGGAACAGTGTCAAGGGAATACCTGCTCTCTTGGGCGAGAGTGGTCAGGGATGACTTCAAAGAGGAGGTGATGTTCTCCATGAGTCCTGAATAACAAGTATGTGTTTGTCAGGCAATGGAAAGAAGGAAGAGCATTCCAAGCTACTTAAGAATATACAATTAAGAGGTAAAGTAAGAACGACAATTAATGCCTTAAGATCAATGTGGGTATAATCAGAGAAGGATTTGTAAAGGGAATAAAACTTGACCTAGATCTTAGAAAATGGAGCTGTCCGCATGATCTCACTCATAAGTAAGTGTTGAGCAATGAGAACACATGGACATAGGAAGGGAAACATCACACACTGGGGCCTGTCAGGGGATGGGGGCTAGGGGAGGGATAGCATTAGGAGAAATACTTAATGTAGATGATAGGGTGATGGATGCAGCAAACCACCATGGCACGTGTACACCTATGTAACAAACCTGCACGTTCCACACATGTACCCCAGAACTTAAAGTATAATAAAAATAAAAAAGAAAAAGAAGAAAATGGAGGTATCCAGCAGAAGAAAGAAGATTCAATCTGGAACAATTGCATAAGCACTTGTCTATGTGTGACTTGGTGGTCAATATAAATTATTATGGAATAGTTTCCTGTGTCTGTAAAGAGTCATCAGATAAATTAGGAAGCATGACTTTAGTTTTGGAACAATATCTCCAACTATAATACTTCTATGAATTACAATATAAATCAGATCTCACATTTGACAAACCTTCATTCTTATATGAGTAAAAGGTCACTTGATACAGTATCTTTCCTTAGCAGAGGAAGGTTCAACACACAAAAAGTCAGCTGAAAAATGAATACTTTCTGATCTAATCCAGTTGACCTATGAACACACTCACCTGTCTATTAGGATTGCACCCACAGTACTACAAAGACATTTTTCTGATACACTGCTACATTTTTATGTTCTCTGAACTCAGAGTTGGGCCAAAAGCGATAAAAGTAGAGGCAATGCTTCTTTGAAATCAACTAAAGAAAAAAATAAGAAGAAGATCAATCAGTTTCTAATGGAAAGAAGTTATGCCAAGTTGCAAAGATGCAAAAACACAAAGTGTAGGGAAGAATATATTTCAGACTTTAAACTGGGTCTGGAAATGTTGCAAGTATAGTTACATACGGCAGCCAAACAGAGCACATGCCAAAAGAAGCAACGTGAGTGTGAGAAGGTGTGAAGCTTGATCTGTGCATATAAGGAACATTAGCAAAGAGAATAAAAAAGATCTGTACAGCAAATAGGTCACATTTGTACAGAAAAGTGTAGGGAGCAATTTTGAACATGATAAGAATGAAGAACCAGAGAAATTATAGTGGGGCAAACTATCTTAGATTCCATTTTGTTTTTATTCCCCTCACCCCCCGTCCCGAGCTTCAACAGAG